CCTGGATTGTGCAATTCATTGTTTTCCATAAAACTAGAAATTTGATTCCTAATCACTCTTTCAAACACTTTTATTATGTGTGATGTTAGTGCAACTGGCCTATAATTTTTTGCCAAGGCTTTACTCCCCCCCTTGTGCAATGGAGCTATATCTGCAGATTTAAGTGCTGCTGGTATCTCCCCTGTATCCAGGCTCTTTCTCCATATTACGCTGAGTGCTCTCGCTACTGGTACTTTACATTTCTTTATGAATATTGAATTCCATGAGTCAGGCCCAGGAGCTGAGTGCATAGGCATATTATCAATTTCTCTTTCAAAATCTTCCGAGTTTGTGGTAATATCCGTTATATTATCTGCAGCTTGAATGTCATTCATAAAGAAGCTGTCTGGGTCATCAACTTTCATGTTGTTTATTGGTGTGCTAAACATAGCCTCATACTGGCTTCTTAGAATTTCACTAATCTCTTTGTTGTCCTCTGTGTACGTACCTTCATTTGTAATTAACGGTCCAATACTGGTCGAGGTTTTGGATTTTGATTTTGCGTATGTGAAAAAATATTTCGGATTTTTCCTTATCTCTTGTATAGCTTTCTGTTCCAATTCCATTTCCTCAGACTCATATGATCGCTTCAACGTTTGTTCTATTTCCTCAATCTCCCTGCTTAGGCTTGTTTTCCTTGCTTGTGATAGTTGTGTCTGCCGAAGCATTTCCGTTATTTTTTTCCTTCTCCTGTACAGTCGTCTCCGTTCTCTTTCTAGAGTGGTCCTCTTTCTGCCTCTCCTCACAGGCACGTGCTTCAAGCAGACCTTGTAAGCTTCAGCTGTCAGTTGAGCTATTCCCTGTGTGGGAGTTTTGTCGCTTAAGACCGTCTCCCATTGAATGGTTGCAAGGTCTACATTTATTTTTTCCCAGTCAATCCTCTTATTGTTGAAATTGAATTGATTGAATATTCCTTCTCGCTTGTTTGGTCTCTTAGACCTACTACCGTTATTTATGCTAGTTCGCACTTCAATGAGCTTATGGTCTGAGTATGAAGTATCTGAGATTGTGATATCCCTGATTAGTTCATCATTGTTTGTGAATAACAAGTCTAGTGTGTTTTCGTTCCCTGATTAGTTCATCATTGTTTGTGAATAACAAGTCTAGGGTGTTTTCGTTCTAGTTTCGTTTTCGTTTGCTTGCTGGTGGGCTGTAGGTATTTACAATTATCAGCTTATCATCCTGATTCCAGACCTGCAATGCCATTATGTCAATATCTCGAGGGTTTTCAAATATTAACTCTTTTACCTTCAGGTGTTTTTTCACCAGTACAGCCACTCCTCCTCCCTTCCTAGTTTTCCCATCACGTCTCCAAACTGAGTAGCCTCTTGGGAATATGACTTCATTTATTATATTTCCTTCAAGTTTCATCTCTGATAATGCAACAATATCTGGGACCCTAAGCTGGATTATATCTTGCAACTCCAAAGTTTTTGACCTCACTCCATCTATGTTGGTATATACAATTTTCAGGAACATGTTCCCTTTTCCTTTGCTCTTTACTCCCCCTTCCACTACTGATCTTGTTGCTTTGTTTTTATGTACCATTTCACAAGCTTTCCAGTCCCTGTCACTTTGTAAAAAAAAGAATTTCTGTCTTCTTCATTTCTATCCCCATTTAGACGTTTTGCCTCAATTAGGTTCATTTTCAGCTTTTCTCTGTCTTCCTTGGAGAGGTCTTGTCTTATTGACCATAATTTGCCAACCTCATCACTCTGCAGTTTCCTGGCATTTCTTAGCACTTCCATCATGTTTTTCACTCCATTAAACGTCACCCTTAAGGGGCGGTTCTTTTCTTTCTCATATTTTCCTATTCTTCTAAAATCACTGACATTATCCTTTGAGCCTTCTCCTAAACCTACTATTTTCTCTATGATTTTCATCTCTTCTGCCGCTCGGTCCACCCTAGATGGAATTTCCTTCTCTAAACATCCAAAAATGATTATGGACTTAGTTCTATCTGCAGTGTTTTGTACCAGTTTACTGTTGGTAACCAGTTCTTTCCTAATTGCTTGCCTAATTTCTGCTTCTTGTTGGTCATTTCTGGTTTTGACTTCCGAACACACTTCTTTGATAGTCTCTCTCTCTCTTACAACTTCAGCATATGTCGCTTTTATTTCTTCTTTATACTTTTCTATTTCTTTATTCACCTCCTCTATGTGAGTTGTCAGTGAAGTTTCCAGTTGGAGATCCTTACCTAACTCTATGTTAGCCCTTAGGCTTGCTTGGAGTTGTTCATCATATGAGTCTATTTTCTTGTTTATTTCTTCAAAGTCACCACACTTCACTTTCCATGCCTCATTTTCTTTCACTAGTTCCTTGATTTGCTCCTCCTGATTTGTTACCTTGTCTGTTAATGCAGTAATAATCTTACCTTGTTGAAGCATACTCCCTTTTAGAGTGCAAAGCTCACTCCAAAGAGCTCCATTGTCCTCTTCCAATTTAAGCACTTTTTCTTCATACTTCTTTTGCATATCCTCAATTATCTCTAACCTGCCAAGAACACCTCCTTTCCTTATATCTTGTGGTGAGAATCCTTTGAAACCATCATCTGTTGGTGGGTCTACATTCTCAGTGGGGGTGGTGGTGGTGGCCATCTTTGATTTTGTTCTAGACCAAAACAAACTTTTCCACTCTGCTTTTTTCACTCACTTTTACTTGTTTATTGTATTTTATTTGCTTTTACTCTTCCCTGAACCTTTATGTAACCTGGGACACCACTATAGCCCTCAACCTGTGCCCAATACTTAGGTAATTCGATATTTCCAGGAGCTTGCTGCAGTGTGACTCCTGCCTCCTCCAGCTCATACACACACACGTGTGTGTGTGTGTGTGTGTGTGTGTGTGTGTGTGTGTGTGTGTGTGTCATGTCATGGCTCATACCAAAATTTGGAGTAGGCCTAGATGTCTGCTATTTTCAAGCCCAGAATTTCATCATCCTATAAGTTGTAAATCATCATGCAGTACATGGGCTCCTTCACATGTGTAAATAATATAATAATGATGCACCATGATTTGTCAGAGTCCTCGAAAGAAAATAATTACAGAAGAGATAACACTGCCAAATTTACTTCTCGCAAAAATTAGATTTAACACTGCCACCAAATTCAGTTAAGGAAATACTGCAAAGTAAACAAGGGAAATAACACCAGCCTACTTCTTACAGCTGCTTTAACCCTTAAAGTGCGCATCACGTCATATGACGTGCTGGACGTTGTTCCAGTCAACTGCGCATCACGTCATATAATGTGTTGGAGTACTACGCAAGATTTAAACAGCCCGCGGATACACGGGGTTCACCACACCTTCATCAGGGCTCTTGTAAACAGACACCATTTTTTAAAAAAATCGTGGGCCAAACTCCCGGGTGTTATTGGCCTCAGTATTGAGTGAGCAACCAAGCCTGACACACGCAGCATGAGCTAACAGCACTGCTGTTCAGCTTGTGACCACAGGATCGCCTAAAAATGCCAAATTATACTTGTTCATGCTATTATGTAGCGATGATATTATTACAGAAGACCCCTGACTGTGATAAAACTGACCAGGGTTCTGATAATAGCAGGATTGTGGTGATATTTAGCGCTATGCGCCATGGAAGGAGGTGTAATGCTGTGGGAGGGAGGGTGGTGGCGATGTCTTTTGACTGTGTGTGGCCACCTTTTATTGACTGCACTCAGCATACCAGCTTAGTGGTTCGCTATGGTGAACACAAATGTAGATACTTATATATAACGTGCATATAGAGGGTATAAACAGCAAGAGAAGGTTTGGAGCCGCCATTTTGGTGAGGGCGGTGGCGTCGTCTGCACGACGCCACCGTGCAGACGATGGTGTTGTTTACTGGTTACCACGATGGTCTTTGGGCACCATACCAGTTTATTTGTACAAGTATGGTGAATAAAACAGGTAGATATTTATATATAATGTGTGTATATAGCGTAATAACACCACACAGTATTGTTGGAGGAGAAATATTAGTGCGTCTGGCCTTGAGGGCGGCCGCCGATCAGCTGACTGTGTGAGTAGCCACATCTTTGTGCCTTTACTCACCATACAAGCTTAGATGTACAGTTATGGTGAACAAAACATGTAGATACTTATATATAACGTCTGTATATAAGATATATAGCGTAATAACACCACACAGTATTGTTGGAGGAGAAATATTAGTGCGTCTGGCCTTGAGGGCGGCCGCCGATCAGCTGACTGTGTGTGTAGCCACATCTTTGTGCCTTTACTCACCATACAAGCTTAGATGTACAGTTATGGTGAACAAAACATGTAGATACTTATATATAACGTCTGTATATAGTGAATTATAGTAAAAACATTATTGTGGGAGGAGAATGTGGGTGAGTCAGATGACTGGAGGGAGGGCGGGAGTGGCTGGCTGGTACACGGCGGTCACTCCTCATTACTTTTTGACTTATAATAGCTACTTAGTGGTTCGTTATAGTGAACAAAACATGCAGATACCTATATATAACCTGTGCTTATAATGTAATAACCGACAAAGTATTTGTTCACTGATTGATGAACATAATTGAATCAACAATATGCACACCATATTTTTGAGTACAGCAATGATTCACTCATTTTATTATATAAATATATCAAACTACACACTATTGAATAATATTACAGCAAAAAAGTATGAAAAATCAATCAGAGACATTGAAATAATTCGGTAATTATCTCTTTGTGGCAACTCCGGCCTGACAGCTTGCGAGCAACAGACCGCCTGGGACGCACGCTGAGTCAGCGCCTATAATTTGCCAGACTTCCCCGCCCTATAGCGGGCAATATATGCCACTTACGATTTTTTTATTATTTTTCCCGTGATCAGTGAACACAAATTAACAGGTTAGAAAGAAAAATATTTTTTTTTTTTTCAAAATGACATGCGCCTGTGGGGATGACAGGATATTAAACCCCGAGCATGTTAAGGGTTAAGACCAGACGAATGTCATGCAGTACTAACAGCCAAGACCATGAAGTTCATGTAAGTGGCAGAAACTGTGCATACGAATGTCAGCACTTGGTGTCATAGAACACAATGTCAGCAGTGCACTACATGTGCAACATCCTCACTACTGTATGCTCACCCCAAGCAGCAGCTTGTGGATGCTAGTTCACTCCACTCGTTCAAATAATGTCAAGTACTGTACATCATTCATCTGAATTATTCAACTAACATCAAATGAACTGAAGTTGGCAAAAGTAATGTGTATATTTAGTGAAGTTCTTAATTATCTCTTTAAAAACTCCAGTATTGGCTATTTGTTAAGAAGGCATGTATGTAATTTTGTAAACATTGTACAGCAGTAGTAATAAATATAATTAAATATATTGAACTCAGTTATTCAAAATCTAATACACTTCACTATCAGATAATTACATAATGGCAAAATATTTTTTTAGAACAATATCTAGTTGATTTCCCAACCTTTAACCGTTACTGATATAATATTTGCACATGTCATCCATCTCACTGTTATCAAGCTATGCAATACATAGTTAATAATAACTTCATTAATTACAGTTATTGTTAGAAAAGTTAAGTAATATTTCATAGCAATAAAGAAATTACTTCATTAAATAATATATTGACATACAGTGGAACCTCGATTAACGAGTGGCTCTATTAACAAGTTTTTCCAGTAACGAGCAAGCCACTTGCAGCAAATTTGTCTCTATTGACGAGCTCGCCTCTATTAACGAGCAAAACCACATGGTGCTTCCTAGCATCTCGCGGGTTCTCGCAAATTCTCGGACGCCTCCGACGCCAGTGTTGTATCGCACTCGACAAGCATCCCTCTGGATTTATTTGAGCTTTTCTTTGGGTTTTTAGTGGTTTCGCGATTACAATTTGTAACACACGATGTCTCCAAAGAAGCTGCTTGCTAAAGATAGTGCTGTCAAGAGGAAGAAAGACACAATTACTGTGGATTTAAAGAAGGAAATTATAGCAAAGCATGAGTGTGGTGTCTGTGTGATTGATCTCACAAGGGAGTATGGCAGGTCCTCATCAACAATTTACACCATTAGTAAGGGAATGAGGAGGTAAGGGAGGATGCTGCCTCTTCCACTGAGATCAGGGAAGTGTTTGGAATGTTTGAAAAGGTGAACGCATTCTTGGAAAAGCTGCTCTGATAAAGCAGTGACAACCCGGTGTGTGAAAATGTTTAATTAATTTATCACTTTGTGATAACACTTTATGAAAGTGTTATCACTTTCGCAGGTATATGTCGCTTGAACGTAACACACTTTTTTTCTCTTGAATGCACCCAAACACCACGCTCAAGCGTCATTTGAGCAAATATTTCTATAAAATCCAATTCTTATCCGATCGACTTGGGGATTGTATACATGTTTGCCATGAAATTTCCATTTTCTTTAATAACCACATTGCCTATTTGAGAAAACGGCATTGTATTGTATCTTCGTGGTAAGACTATTATATTGTTGACACAACGAGTGTAATCGACGTAGTTTTTTATTTGGTGCTGGTCTAACACATCCTTGTGTGACATTTGAAATGAAATATTTGGGTGAAATTCCCAAGAAGAGAGAGTCCGCCTGACTCAGAGGTGGATTCTCCTTCCACACCATAACCCCTCTCCTCCTTCCCACCTCCCCATCGTCTCCCTCAAGCCAGCAACTACTCTTCATAAGGTAAAGTAAATATTAAAACACTACAACAAAACATTTATATTTACATGTGCAGTATTATATTTACATAAAAAAAAGTCATACAAGTATGGATGTTTTTGGGAGTGGAACGGATTAAATTTATTTCCTTTATTTTATATGGGGAAATTTGTTTCTTAAGACGAGTTTTCCAGGTAACAAGCTTGGTGCCAGAACGGATTAAACTCGTTAATAGAGGTTCCACTGTATACTGCACCTTTTAAGTGTTTATTGTCTTATGTTATGGGCTTGCATACTATGTATGTGTGTGTGTATTTTTGATAATATTATAAAGTATAACATTTTATATTCATTATTTTAAATATGAGTATTTAATGTTCTGTAAGTTTATAAAAGCAAAAACTTTCAATACAGTACACGTCATGTAAACTTTTGAACAGCATTCACTTCACTAGGGAATACACATGTTCAACATCAATGAAACTACATCATGTTCAGTGTTATTAAACTAATTTATATAATAAACATTATTGTTACATTATGCTAGATTATGTAGTAAAGAAAATCTATTCATGGTACACCTTCTTTAAGGTTTTGTATATTATACTGTACCTGGGTAACGTACACTAACCTACATCTGTATTATTAAAAATTCTTGTGTGTGTTTAGTGTCCCAAAGTCATAGAACAAAACTTTTTCTTTGCTGAACATACTGTATCACAAATGATTCGAGTGTGTCTTCTTACAATCTACAGTATATTTATATCGTTATGTAGATGGCTGTTTATATAGGAGAAACTTGTGTGTTTAATATTTTTAAGGTTTTCTGAAACTAATCATTTTGAGCAACTGTCCATAAATGTTTTTAGTATAATTTTATGAAATTTTCAGAAAAATTTGATCAAGCATTACACAATGGCAACCAGCACAGAAAAGAAACCACATCATCATGCATCGAGTTTACAAGACAGTGTTGATAAGTCGGATTTAGTAAAGCACACAGATACTTGCACTCGAGAGAAGCCATATCAGTGTTCAAAATGCTTAGAAGACTTCTCTGATGAATCTGATCTAGTATCACACATGATAACGCACACAGAAGATAAAACAGACCAATGTTTGAAATGTATAAGGGGCTTTGCACAGAAATCTGATTTTATAAGCCAAATGTGTACTCACACTCGAGATAAACCATATTGGTGTTCAGTTTGTTTAGAAGATTTTACAGATAAATCTAATCTAGTATCACACATGAGAACCCATAAAGAAAAGAAACCATTTCAATGTTCAAAGTGCTTAGTAGAATTTTCAAATAAATCTCATCTAATATCACATATGATAACACATACTGGAAAGAAACCACATCAGTGTTCAGAGTGTTTTAAAGACTTCTCACGAAAATATGATTTATTATCACACATGAGAACTCACACAGGAGAGAAACCCCATCAATGTCCAATATGTTTAAAATTCTTTTCTCACAAATCTGCTGTAATAACACACATAAGAACTCACACAGGTCAGAAACCATATAAGTGTTCAGAGTGTTCAAAAGGCTTTACGCGAAAATATGATTTAGTAAGGCATATGAGAATTCACACTGGGGAGAAACCGTATCAATGTGCAGTGTGTTTGAAAAACTTTATACAAAAGTCAAGTCTATTATCACACATGCGAACTCATACAGGAGAGAAACCACATCAGTGTTCAGTGTGTCTGAGAGATTTCACAATGAAATGTGACTTATTAAGGCACATGAGAATTCACACTGGTGAGAAGCCCTTTAAGTGTTCAGTGTGTCTTAAAGCTTTTAGACAACATCCTGCTTTAGTAAACCACAGTAAAGTTCACACTGAAGAGAAACCATCAGTGTTCAGATCATTTAAAAGATTTTAAAAGTATAATCTTTTACCTTAAGAGAATTCAAACATGGGTTAAATAAATTTTTATCTCCTTTAGAAGACCTCACAAAAATCTGATGATATTTAACATACGAGACTCACTCCAAAGTGGTGCCACCAAAAATGTATAATATGTTAAAACAAATTCTATCTAGTAAAACATGGAAACTCTCACTGGACAGCAACCATATCATTATTCATAATGGCTAGCATCCATTCTCACCAGTGTGAATATGATGGCTAGCATCCAGATGAACACCTCCATTAATAACATCCAGTTCCCAGAATAGCAGGATTACAGAAAAGACACATGACCATATTTCCATGGAAGACATTACCACGGGTACATCGTCGGCCGGGATTAAAGGTGACATTGTCAGGCGGTCAAGAACAATAAGAGGACTGGACCCAAGACAGCAGCCTCATTAGACGTTGAGATGCAAGTCTTGTCTTAATCACACACTCAGACCTTGATAAAGCACTCAGAGTGCAAAAGACTTGGTGTAAATTCCTTACATAAATTTCACAAATACACAAGTGTGGGTTTTTATCCTAAAATATTCAGAATGTTTAAAAAAGTATTTCTGGGGAAAGTTGCTTCGGCTCCCTGGAGCTATCCGGGCTGATATGAATGTATTAGACCCTGGCATCAATCAATGCGCATGGAGTTCTAGGTCTACCAGGGACCACGAGCCAGAACCTTGCCACTCTCAGAGAGGCACGTGGAGCAATGGCCTATAGAAACTCCCATGTGGTTGGAAGCATTCTGTGTCTGCCATCGACTGGCTCAGGCACCCAGAAATGTAAGTGCCCCAAAGCAAACCTCTATTGTAGTTAAAATATTGCTACCGAGCCGAACTAGTGGACAGAACTTCCCAAATGAAAACGAGCATGATATCACCACATCACTGCACCGCTGCTGTCTGCACAACCCCCCCCCCCTCCCCAGGAGGGGGAAGGGGAAGCCCCAGACCCCTGCACTGGCTATCCAAACCTCAATTCTGTGGCTGACGTGAACTGACAAGGTCGTGTGCCTCTGGGTTCTGTGTTTTCCAGTTCTGTGCCTTTTGGCATGGTCCTGTCTAATTGGTGGTGCGCAAGCCAGGAGTAATTATACAAATAAACGTACTGCATGCGCCGAGAGTTACCTTCCCTAGGCCCTGTAAGTACTGCCCTTTGGGCTTGGGGCCACCTTCCACAAATCACCTTGGGGTCCACCTCTGCAAGGTCTTTTGCTGCTCTGTGATTGACTGCCCTTGGAGTCAACTGGGGTGTTTCACGCACCACTGTTTGCCTCTGGGTAGGGGGGTAGTTTTCGTCACTGGTTGGGGCACAGGGTACTGTGCAGCTAGTTTTCATCTCTCATAGCGGCCGGCTCTGTTCTGCCTGGGCACGTTGTCCTCTTGCGAGGTTTTATTTTTATTTTTGGTTTCCTGCCTGAAACCCATTTAGTTTTTATTATTTTTTCCAATATTTTGACTATTATACTTGTCAATGATACAGGTCTACAATTGAGGGGGCCTTCCCTGCTTCCACTTTTGTAGTTTGGAACTATGTTAGCCTTTTTCCACACATCTGCTACAACTCCTGTATACAGGGATGTCTGAAAAATCAGCTGAAGTGGAATGCTGAGCTCAGGTGCACATTCTCTCAGAACCCATGGTGAAACTCCATCTGGGCCAACTGCTTTGTTCTTACTTAGCTCCAAGAGCATTTGTTTCACTTCGTCTCTTGACACCTCTATAGTGTTCTCTGGAATTTAATGTGTCTGGTTCTGGAGTGCAACTTCTCCTAGGCAACGACTTGGCAGAAGACCTGCAACCGACCAACCTGATCGTCATGGACAAACCCCAGGTGTGTAACTCTGTGCCAATAATCCTATTCTAGAGTATGTTCCAGCAGAGGTTCAAGAGTGAGTGATGAAGTTTCTCCTCGGTTCTCGTGACCACCGTGCACAAGCCGCACGTCCACAGCCAGCTGACTCTCCTGCCACCGCTGTCCCTCAAGACCCTCAGAAACTACCCCCGCATCTGACCAAGTTGGAGTTCCGTAAGTTGCAGAGGAAGATCTTACTTTAACACCATTGTTTTTCCAGGCTGCTCACCCAGACAGTATTCCTGGGTTCTTCCTAGAGAACGACTTGCTCTACCGCAGATATAGACCCAGTAAACTGAAGGAGGAGGACGATTGGGCCAACACCGAACAACTTGTGATTCCCCCAGCCTGCGGCCCACTATTCTACACCTGCCCATGGAGCATTCTCCCACTACGGCTTCAACAAGACTTACCATGGGATTCGCCAAGACTACTACTGGCCAGGTATGGTAAATAACGTCAAACAGTACGTAAAACAGTGTCATACATGTCAGATGGCAGGCAAACGAACGTCCTCCATTCCAGAGCACCACTGATTCCCATACAGGTGCCTGAACCTTTCCACAGACTCATAAAGACTGTGTTGGTCCTTTACCCGGACCAGTTCAGGTAACGCCTACATCCTAACCATCCTGTGTCCTACCACCAGATTTCCCATAGCAGTTCCAGTGAAGAACATCACGGCTGCTACGGTTATCAAACATCTTGAAGATCTTCACTCAATACGGATTTCCCAGGGAGATTCAAAGTACTCACCAGTGATCTCTTCAAAAGAACACTGGAGGAGTCAACATCCAATCCTGAGCATTTGAGTTTCACTCTCAGAGATGCCACCTTTCGTCTCAGGTGAGAATGAAGACTCATTACGACCAGACCAGCAAAGTGAAGATCTCATTTTGTGCAAACGCACTTCGGAACTTTTCGTGCGCTTCCTTGGTCTTGCCTCTTACTACCGTAGGTTTGTGAGGAATTTCAGTACAGTCGCCACACCTCTAATTCTATTAACCAGTCCCAAGCAACGGTATAATTGGACCATACGGCAAACCGTTGCTTTTGAACAACTCAAATTCCTCCTCTGTTCTAAACCCATTCTCGCCTCTCCAGATATCACCAAGCCTTTCGTCCTTCATGTCGACGCCAGTGGTACCGGCGTTGGTGGTGTCCTGATGCAACAACGAGGCGAGGAGGTTCTACCTGTCAGCTACTACAGCTACAAACTGAAACCACACCAGAGGACTACAGCACTATTGAAAAGGAGCTACTATCCATCGTCCTGAACCTCCAACACTTCGCTCCGTACCTACAAGGCGCCAGGTCTACCACCATCTTCTCAGACCACAACCCTCTCCGCTTCCTACATCAAGCCAATTCACCAACCAGCGTCTTCTACGATGGGCTCTGTATTTACAAGACTTCAACCTGGAGATCCGCTATATCAAGGGTTGACAACACCATAGCCGATGCCCTCTCCAGAGTTTATGAAGTAGAAGCGACTCCATCCATTACTCCACCACTAACGACGTACTTCTTCCAGAACCGCAGGCTTCGGGGAGAGTTTGACGATAATCTCCTTCAAGAGATTGAGCCTGCTCTTCCCTCCAAAATTACGTCTTCACAACTATATAAAAGACTATGGAAGAAATGTCCAACAACGACAACAAACACCAGCAAGGCTTGCCAGGGTGAGCAGAAACGTATGCAAACAGCCACCTGTTCGAACTCCAACCACCAAAATGATCGCTACGGCTCCGCTGATTGGTCGCCGGTCTGGCTGCACCTGCACTCGCCCCCAATACTACCTGATGTCTGGGGTCACCCCAACATCAGTCCTCAGAATGTTCCGTGCTTTCGTAGGCACTCCTCCCAGCTAGACTCTAGAGTGTACTGAGAGAGGTGGTGGCTTTAAGCCAATATTCCAGCACCTCTTAATGTTTCACACATTTCCTTTTCATTTTCCATGTATCTGTCCCCCCATTTTCAACCTCTGAATATTATCCTTTACCTGCAGCTTGCTTTTAACCCTTAAGTTGCACAACACATCATATGATGGGTTGAGTGACTTGCTATAAATTGCACATCCCATCATATGATGTATTGGAGTACTACGCAAGATTTAAACATCCCGCGGATACACGGTGTTCACCTAGCCTTCATCAGGGCTCTTGTAAACATATGCCATTTTTTTTTTAAATCGTGGGCGAAATTTCCGGGTGTGAGGGCCTCAGTATTGATTGAACCACCAAGCCTGATGCACGCAGCATGAGCTCACAGCACTGCTGTTCAGCTTGTGACCACAGCATCGCCTAAAAATGCCATAATATACATGTTCATGCTATTATTTAGCGATGATATTATTACAGAAGATCCCTGACTGTGATAAAAATTACCAGGATTCTGATAATAGCAGGTTTGTTGTGATAATTAGTGCTGTAGTGGGAGGAGTAATCTTGGTGAGGAGGGAGGTAGCATTGTCTGCTGACTCTGTGTGACTGCCTTTTACTGTCTGGGCTCACTATACCAGCTTAGTTGTTTGCTATGGTAAACAAAACATGCAGATACTTATATATAACGTCTGTATATGAAAGCAAAAACAGTATGGTGGGAGGAGAATGGTGGCGGGTCAGGTGAGGTGAGGGAGGGAGGGAGGGAGGGAGGGAGTGGCAGCCAGTGGCGGGCTGCCACTGGCTGCCCGTTATGGCCACTGGTTTGTTATGGTGAACGTGAATGTAGATACTTACATATAACGTGTATATACAGTGTAATAACAGCAAAAGGAGTGTGGGGGAGAAGCCATTTTGGTGATGGGTGTGGCAACATCTGCATGAATTGTCATGTTGGTAGGGGTAGCCACTATGCTCTTTGGGCATTATACCAGCTTAGTTGAACAGTTATGGTGAACAAAACATGTAGATACTTGTATATAACGTCTGTATATAGGGTAATAACACCACAAATGGTATTGTTGGGGGTGAAATTTTAGTGGGTCTGACCTTGAATGTGTGAGGGAAGCAGCCGCCAGCTGACTGTGTGTAGCGATGTCTCTTAGTGCCTGAACTAACTATATCAGCTTAGTTGTACAGTTGTGGTGAACAAAACATGTAGATACTTATATATAACGTCTGTATATAGTGAATAAAAACAAAATAGTATTGTGGGAGGAGAATGTGGGCGAGTCAGGTGAGGTGAGGAAGGGAGGAAGTAGCAGCCAGTGGCAGGCTGCCACTGCCACTGTCACTCAGCATACCAACTTAGTGGTTCGTTATGGTGAACACGAATGTAGATACTTATACAGGCATACCTCAGTTTAAGAGTTTAATTGGTTCCTGGAGACGCCTCGTATTCCGAAAACTCGCATTCCGAAGCTAATTTCCCCATAAGAAATAAAGGGAAATGAATTAATCCGTTCCTGACTACCCCAAAAACCCCACATCAAACTAAATTTTTATACCTAATTCATCTAAATAAACCTACAAAACTATGTTCAAGTTATTACTTACCTTGCTGTTGAATGCTGTAGGCGTATGGAAGATGGTGAGGAGGTGGGAGGAAGAGAGGAGTTACTGTTTGGAAGGGGAGTCCCCTTCCATTATCACATCAGGCAGTGAGGACTTCACTGGTATGCACACTCTGGCACATTTTGCCTGCATACCACTAGGACT